GGTTATTATATCAGGATCGCAATCTATGAGATGGAAAACTTTAACAAATGGTGTAAAATTAGTAAATCTTCTTTAGGAACTACCGTAGCCGTGTTATTATTTGTAAAAGTTTTATATCATCACGCTTGAAATCAAATTTTAAATTCATTTGGTCCAAAAACTCTATGTATAACTTTAATATATTGGTTTCATAAACATCTCAGCTATTATTGCAATAAAAATGTCAGATATTTTAATATGATTATTTTCATATTTACAATCAATATTAATATTGTTACTGATCGCATCTTTTTTAATAAATTTACTAAAACTTAAAAGATAATGTGCTTTGATAGTTGCATATAAGTGTGGCAAACGAGAGCTTTCAGCTTGGAACTCTTTATTAAGATTGTTAATTATGGGCCAAATATACCATAGAAATAACATATATCATTTGGTTTTGCATCGCAACACATTCCTTCGGAAAGGTCTGCAAAGTTTCAAACTATCTCTTTGCTCAACTAGTGAAAGCGTTTGAGATATGCCCAAGATTTTGTGAGGTTTTACCGCACAGTAGACCTGAAATTCCTTCAGTTCATGTATCCTCTAAGGACTGTGGAAAAAGAAACTACATGTTGCGGCACAGTGTCACAATGCTTTTCGACAATTTTTTTTCAAGCATAGCTTGAGCAAAGGTGAAGTGAAAGGCATGTGCACTTAATATAAAATAAATCGGTTTCTGCACTCAGTCATCTTTTCAGCCCACCCAGGTTTCCGGCCATAACATTGGCTCCATCAGTGGCCAAACCAATTAGGTTTTTTATTTTTAAAGACAGGATTGGCAAATATTTAAAAGGTACAAAGGGCAAATATTTGTTTGAAATATATATTTTTATAATTAAGAATTTAAGAACTTAATTAAACTATCCCACCAAAAGCTTACTTTGCCTACCAACCTACCAAATGAAAAAGAAGCGACCAAATTTGGTCAGAAAAGGATAAGGTGGCAACACTGCTTAAATGTATTTGGTTACCCTGTACTTTTCTTTTTTATAGTACCGCTCTGTACTTTGTATCACTTTCAGTAATCAGCTGTTTGTCAGTAATAACCCAATCAGCTTAATTATTTAAATATTAATATTTAGCTATTTTGTTAGATTTTCTAGTTTTTAGGAGTCTTGGAGAGGTTTTCTAAATTAACACGTAGCACAACTTATGAGGTACAAAGTAGCTTACCGGAAAATCTGCTTTGGAATTAAAACGTGACTACGATTTGTTATATCTTTGAAGGTCTTTGGAGGACTTCGGCAGGATTTGGAATTGACCCGATACATTCCAGTTTATCGATAAACTTCAATGATTTGATACATATAGATAACTCGATGAATTTCAAAAACACTAAAATCCGATAACTCCACAAAATTCGATAACTCGACTAAATTCGATGACTCAAAAATGTATATATCTCATTCTGTTAATACGATAAAATTCGACAATCATTGATAACTTGATAAACTTAGATAACCTTGAAATTTCGATAAATCAATATATTTTGAAAAATCCATAAACTTAGATTCGATGAATCGACCAATTTCCGTAGATCAATAATTATCGATACCTCTGTAAGTTGAGAGAACTCGGCGCATTATGATAACTCGATAAATTTCGTTAAGTCAATGAATAATGATAATTCAATAAATATCGATAACTTCATATATTTCTTTAACTTGACAATTTTCGATAAATCCCATAAACTTCAACAACTAAGTTTCTGAGTCTATAAGTTTCGACAACTCAATCAACATTGATCAATTTGAATAATTCGATACGTTACGGTAACTTAATTAGCATGGATAAATTCCGATAACTATAAACTTCGATGATTTAATAAAGCTTTTATAGCTATCGAAAAAATTCAATTCAATTACCCTAATTCTTATGTATTTCTCATTGCCTCCCTTTTCGTCTATATCATCACTTTTACCTTTCATTCATTTCTTCACCTTCATATTTATCTTTATTTCGAATTTTAATTTCAAATACGGAGTAAAACAAAATGCGAAAACAGCTCAGTTTGAACAGGTTGCAACAACAACCATACATAAAAACGGAATTTTTTAAACGACGATTTTAGCTGTAATTTTCAACCAATTTTGAAACCATAAAACTCTTCTCATCTACAGAAATTCGACGGTGTTTTTGGTTTTGAAGTCAGTTCGTTAGAATTCGCAACAGTGTCATAAGTATCGTATTGGTGTATGTCGCAAAACTTTAAACGCCTAAGAAATATATTAAAGGGGTGTGTTAGGTACCATCGAAGTCATATTATGAATTTTTCCAGTATTAAATAATAGTTGGTTGTCGTTTCAAGTTCTCCAAGCATTTATTTAATATTTTAAAGTTTACGACATACAACGATACGACATTTACGACACCTCTGTGAATCCTTCAATTGATAAAAATTCGTTGAGAGAAATTGTCGAATTTAGGGATTTCATCTAAAGTGATAAAGGAATAAATTGCTTAAATTTATCAATTTATCTGCATTGTTTCATAACCGCACCGGGGTAAATAATTGCATACAATTGTTTACAATTTAACTTGTATGGCTAGTTACGTTTCATTCTTACCACGTAAATTGTTTATTTGCATTTTATGTGTTCATAGCAAAAGGTGCCAGCTGGCAACCTGTCAGGGTTGAATTTTGCTGAAATTTATACATTTATCTACCCAAAACGTTTGCTAAAGTCATAAACTCTGCTTAAATAGATTTCCATACAAAGTTTGTCAGTTCATTTATCAAAATGACAAATTGATCATTTTATCAAGTTTATCAGCAGTTTATCACTTTAGATGAAGACCCCTATTATATTATTGTTTTTTTTAGTGCTATCATTATGAATTAAAACGAGTTACTAGATACTTTTTAAATTTAAATACAAAACACATACTTTAGCATATTTCATAACAGAAAAGTCTTCTTTATCAGTCAACAGAAAATAATCATTGATTAAAATTAAAGCTGTGAGTTACTTTAATTTGTAATCATTTGTACATACATAATGTGTATTCTTTTACAGCCAGCGAGTTCAGCCAGGTCGGTTAAAAAATACGCTACCTAAAGGCTGTTTGTGAATTGTTAATGTGCAAGCAGGGAAAGTGGAGAGGGAAACTTTTGTTTACTTACATATATACATGATTTATGTTTCAAATAGGTATATATATTACGCAAAGATTTTTCGTATGGAGTTTAATTTTGTTGTAATTATCTTCAAGTGAAGATTTTTCTGACAATTTATGAAAACTGTACTTCTGGCAACACTGTTCTGTATATGTATTTTATCCTACAAAATGGGCGGAGCAAACCTTAACTTGCCGGCCTTGCTAAATGCAAGTAAATATTAAACGTCGGTACCTATGTGTGTGTGAAAGTGTAAAGCGTGTGCGGAAACAACGGGTAGTAGTGGCATATCTAAAGGCGCAAAATATGTACATATGCATGAATACGCATGGTGAGAAGGGAATTTTTGTACACCGTAAAATTTTGTTCTCTAAAATGTGTTTTAGAGGCAAATACATTTTAAAAAATACTTGAGGAAACCGCCCTCAAAAGACTACATAGAAAAAATAGATTCTTGCAAATGTGAACTGAAATAAAATAAATAAATGGACTAAAACTTAGATAATAATATTACTCAGTCCCATAGAATTTGTGTTGATAGCTTTTGATTTTGAAATTTTAGCAAAACAATTTATGAGATTGAAAATGAAAAACGTGGAGCGCACGCAATACAAAGCATTCGATTCGAGCATATCAGTCATCATATCATGCGACGAAACTTACTGCTAAATTTTATAGATCATTGAAAATATCCTCGCTACCATGTCAAACGATCGAATGTGAAAATTGGTACTTTTCAGGAGAACAAAAAAAAAATGTTGTCGTCATTAGGATACTTTGTCGACACTTTGTTAAAGTCAGTATCTTCTGCTTTTAAGAAGATTAGACGGTTTGCCAACTTTCTTATCATTCTAAACGCATACGCAAGGTGTCGTAAATGAAAAAGCATTTTAGAACATTCGATAGTTTGACATGGTAGCGACAAGTGCACACATACCAAATGTCTTAAAAATTCAAATAAAAATTATTTTTCTCTGTGTTTCCTCTTCCTGTTATTAACTTGTATTAGGGGTGAAACCGTCCTACATTAGCCAATCGCAGCTGAAATGCTGATTAATAATAACAACAACAAAAAATTACTACACAACATACCCATGCATAAACATCTCCCACGCTATCAATTATGCACATACATAAGTATGTAAATGTATGTACGTACATACATACACACAACTATAGCAAATATGTATCAATTTTTTCCCCTTTTTTTTGCTAATTTTAATTTAACGTTGCAAGTAATTCGAAACTTCGCAGATGATTAAAATTTTGTCGAACTTTGATTGTAGTGAAGACGAAAGCGTGTGCGTAAATTCAAAGCGGCAGCGGCGTCCAGCCACATCCATACATACCTATGCATGTATGTATATGGATATGTACCCTGCAAAAATTTGAGGATCAGGTGGTCCACTGGGTCGTAGTTTTAAAGTATGAGCACAAGGACCAGGTTGCATATTAGTAACTTGTTATGCTGACCTGGACCACTTCAAACGTAAAAAACTGATATAGGTGTTGAACACCACCTCTTCGTGGCCGATCGGCAATATGATTCGGTTGCCGAATGTGCCATGGTTCAAAAGGAGTAGTTGTCTAGGTGGTCCCATGTTATGCAGTGGTGGACCAAAAGTGGTCCCATGTTATGCAGCGTTGGACCAGAGGTGGTCAGGTCCAATGACATCGCAATGTTAATGTAACCATATTTTCTCCATATATTTGGACCATTTTGGTTACTAGTGTTGGTTACAAGGTAGTGTGGTCCTGTACTAGTACTTAACCTAGTCCCACTTTTTGCAGGGTAGGTGTACCAGTTTGCAATGAAACCAATACAAACAGAACCTGTACGCTTAGCACTGCCCTGGTCGCCGCTGCTGAGCTCTTTTGTGTAAAAAGCACTTCACTCATTAACGTTTTTTTTTATTTGCCGCAATAGGCGCAGGCAGCGGAAGTAAAAGTCCCGAGGATACGGGCAAGTCACAAATAGTTTGCAGTTTGAAAACCGAAGTGCTTAAACGTTCATTCCCATCAGCTCATTCAGTTTGAAAACCTCTAATAGACCGGTTGTTGCATTGTACGTCGGTCGGCGGTTAAGTGGCTAATCCATATTCAAATAGTTAATGCTTCCGATTAATCAAAATCAGCCGTTTTTATCGTCCTAGCCGTCAACTTCGTAATACTTACTAAAACTAACGCGATGACAGATGTGGCGCCAAGTGGTAAAACACCACATAATCGTCCATCATCACCGCGTCAATTTTTCGAACGTCTTTACGGTCATCTTGAAACAAATGAAACTGTATCGGATAATAATGCCAGTGCCAAAAACTCGACGCATAATCACGACACACGTGAAAGTGATAAAAATTTTGTCACTGAGTTGAGTGCAACAATCTGTGATACCACTTATCAAAGCGATGATGGTAGTATGTCATCGCCGGAAGTCTCTATTAACGATGAGAGGTGCGTTTTTATTTTTATTTTATTTTTTTTTTTTTTGTGACGCGCATGACTTGACAAACAAATTAAATAAAAATGCGTCCAAGTAATGGAAATCTTCAATAATTGATTCTGAGCTATAAATTATAGCAATTTTATCTAATCGCTGAGTTTTTAATGTAATCGAATAATCTAAAGTTTGAAATTCTTATTACTTTAGATTATCGCATGGCTGTTCTGCGTATGACCCCTACAGTGTTCATGACTATAATAAAGCCTGTTATGACACAAGGACGGCGATGCCAAATATTCCATTTGGATTTCCAAGTGAACCACATTTCACTGCCGGTTTTACGGCCTTCCGTAAGTAAATTCATAGATAGTCTACTCAATAATGCTAAGATTAGTCGTTTGTTTGTATTTATTAATGATAACTTTTTGGTTTAAGGTAGTGAAAAATGTCTTTGAAAAGTGGATGAAATTCGTAATTTTCTTTTTAATTATCTTAAAAAGCCTTTGTGTGATAAATGAATAATTTTAAATAAAATGTTGCACTGTAATTGCCGTGAAATATCGTTTAGTGATTTTTTAACACAAATATTTTATTCAAATTGTACCTTAACTTTCAGTGTCCTGTCAGGTAGCCAGTAAGAGTTCTAAGACCTTGCCGGCTAAGTTTAGCCTTTAGATGTACCACAGAAAGGTACGGAACGGTGGAAGTGCATTTTGGCCGCACGTTTCTCGATACAAAAAATTTTTTAAACATACTGTGTATGGAAGAAAATGAGCAAAAATCAACGATAAGTCCAAGCTTCTTCCAACTTGCACTTTATTATATGTACTACATATAATTATGTAAATGGGCTACACAACTTCACGCTCAAAACAATTCTTGAAAATCTGATTAAAATATTTCAAATTGTGATGAATATTTATTCAAATTCGTCGAATTTTTATAAATGTTCTACAAATTTTGATTTTCAAGTTTTTCTTTTAGATAGTAAGTTATAGTTTTATAAAAACTATATGAAACATTTTAAAATTTTTTTCTCTTTGTTTTGTTTTAAATAAAACAGTATTAAGCCTTTTTATGCTAAAAACAAAATTTAATGATTGGATTCGATGCTTTAGAAATGTCCCGATTTTTGGCCGCAGTAATCTGGTCACCGTAAGTATACTACACCTCTTGTCTAGCATTTTCTTGCAAGAATAGAGACAACAATACGCCTTTTTAACTCAGTCGTTCGACTTTTCTTTCCAATTTACGCCTTTCAGAGAATGGCAAATTTAGTACTCTACCACGATTTAGTATCAAGCAAACAAAACCGCATAAAAAGTTGTCTTTATATTTCATTATTAAAATTTGCTATTTTATTAGCTACTGAACATGAAAAAAAATACCATTATACTTAAGCTTAGGATTAGGGGAGGCAAATATACATACATATATTTTGTTCAAATTCCAATTTTACTATTTTCTATTTATTTGTGCGCTATTGTGGCTGTTGATCCTTGTGTGATTCTGTAGTATCCTTCTTTTCATCGACTTTCTTTTGCCCAATATTTCTTAATTCCAAACTTAAAAACATTTTTAGATTTGGATCGGTGATTTTACTCAAAATTATTTGTCTTGCCTTTTCGTCGTTACCTGCGAAAAGTTTTGACAATGTCTCTGCATATTCGATCCAAACACAATTCGCACAGCCGGACATGCAACATGTTGTGGGCTCGGGTGGTATCTGTGGACGAAAAATGTATTATATCACAGTGTGCATTAATTGCATATTTATTCTGAACCAAAACTATATGTAAATGTATTCGAAAATATTTGGTTTTGAACGTTTTCAATCACAAAGTATGTATCACCTCATTACCTCAATGTCGCTATCACCACACATACGAAGAAGATTATTAAGAAACGTTTTAGTGGATTGTATTAAAAGGCCTCGATTGTAAAGTTGGCGACAGGCAGGTCGCATTTCTGAAAAGAAAAAGACTAAATAATATAAAAAAAACTTTTTAATATACAACGCTTTTATAAATG